CCTTTTATTTTAAATAAGATATTACATGCTGATATTTTAATTTTATCTTTATTTCAAAATAAATAAATAAATAAATGCGTTAAGATGTTAAGATATTTTTATTAGATTGTAATTGTAAATAAAAGTAAATAACAAAAAGTTTTAATTATTATAATAAATAACTTCTTCTTGATGGTCATAAATGTACTAAGTAAAATAACTAAGTAAAATCCAATGACTAAATAAGATTAAATGGAGTATTTTTAAAGTGTGAAAGGAATCTAATTAACAACCTTTACAGTATAAAAATTGTTGCAGAAAGTTCCCAACGCACAGCACGAGTTTACAAAAGACATGACCTTCTCATGATTTTCTAAGAAAAAGCGACAAATGAAGTTTTAAAAGCACTAATTAGGATGCTTCTAATGGAGCCATCAACAAACTACTACTGTAAGTCTAAGTCCATAACTAACACCGACCATCACTACAACTTTGGATAACCAATCGTTTATTATTGGCATGGGATGATGGTTGGAAAACGAGAAAAGTGTTTCAAACAAAGAAAGAGCAGTTAGTTCATAATTTAAGTACTCTCTCTGTTTCGCATTATTTATTGTTATGGAAAGAAAATTTTGTTCTTAAATAACTATCATTTTAGGATATCAATGTCATATTAATTATTATTATTTTTTAATTTGCCCTTCTCTCTTAAAATATACTCTTTCACTTATTCACCTACCTTTTTTTTTTAATCTCATTTCTATTAAAAAGGTAAAATAGTGCTTTAAGCTTATATATTCTTAAAATAAGAGTAATAAATTACTTTCATAATCAGTGTGTAAAAACCTAAAACGATAGATAATATGAAACAAAGGGAGTAACTTGGTAATAATACTTTTTAAATATAGTAAAATTAAAATATTTTAAATTCAAATCTTATAGCATATAAATATGATGAGTTAAAAAATTAAAAAGAGTTTCTTTTTTTTAGTACTAAACCCCCTTTATATTTAAAAATCATATTAAATCTCAATTAATATAGAATTAAGCTATGTTAAACTCTATAAATGTGAAGCTGTCTTAACATTTTTTTTTATTTACAAGACTTAAATTTAAGATCTTATTTAATAAAAACCAAACTTTTTTTTACTGAAATCATAAGTTAATATAGAATTAAGTTACGTTGGATTTTATAAAGGTGAAACTCTCATATCACTTATTTTATTATTTATAAGATTTGAATTCGCGACCTTATTTAATAAGAATTAAACTCTTTTTATGCAAATTACAAATCATTGGTTAGAGAAAATATTTTTTATTATACAATTAAAAAAAAAGGATATTAGTTGATATACCCTCAAGTTTAATACACTACATAATACACTCATTAAAAAATATTATTTTTTAATATAAAATTAAAAATAAATAAATTTAAAGATATAATCATGCATATAATATAAAATAACTAGTTAAATCAACTATATTTATATTTTAATAATGAAGCCCAATAAATATAAAAAAGTATGCCAAATTAATAGTATACCAATCATTTTTTAAAAGAAAAAAAACCTACCAAACAAACGAAGACCAAGCATTAGGTAGGATTAAGGGTACATCATTACATTCTGAAAATAGCAAGTTTGACAAATGAATGTTTTCCAAACTTCTCCGGTGGGTTTAGGGCAAGGACACTAGGATTAATAGGTCAAGCCGGCCTGAAGATGATTAATTATAGCAGAGCATTCTCATATTATATATACAAACCCTTTCAACACGTATGTATGTATACAGAAATTGAATATGAAACCGATCTTATTCCACTTTCTTCTTTCGGCTAATTTAAAACCATAATGGACGCTCGCTTCACTTTGAAGTTTGAATTTCATATGCATACATCCATGTGGATTAAATTGAATCAAGTACAGTACACTATATATGACATTGGTTGTCAAAAAGGTGTGAAAAGAATGATGCATGTATCATCCATTTTCACATCTGTTTCAGAACGAATAGCACCAATGTCAGTACTGTTGCATAAACCCCTTTTGTCAATGTTTCTAGAATCCACTTCCATGGCAACTTGGAAATCTTAAAGGCACCGCAACAATGCCTCACTCATTGAATCCGGAATCTCGTTTCTGTTTCAAATTACTTTTAGACTTAAATCGAATAAATTTTCAAGAGAAAAACTAATAAAAAAGTAACAAATTCTACAAATTTGATACCCAACTAACTTAGGCATCTATCCATCTTCGGTGGAAGAATATCATGCACCCAACGAATTCCATCATACAAAAAGCCAACCCACTTTTTACATAGATGAGTGGTAGGCTGGCAGCTAGGTCTTTTTATTCAATAGAAATAAGAAGTTTTAAAACATAACATGCGGATGAAGATGGAGATAGAGAGTTTTATTTTATTTTGTTTTTTGTTTTTTATTTTTTAATATTTATGGTAAGATGTCTTTATATTAACTTTTAAGTATTTAGAAACAAATCTTTCATTGAAAAATTTTAATAGACATACTCTTGATTTGTTATATTTAAAAAAATTAATTTTTTTCTTATCCTAAGATGGGCTAAGAGCCCTGGTGCAATAATAATAATAATTTAATGAGACATGGCCAATGTCCTTAGAATTGCAGTCTGGATATATTCCTATCACAACTACGACTTGCCCTTGTTCCACATTTCTTTCTCATTCAATTCCTCTCTCTTTTTGAAAGCGTAATTACACTGATATATTAGTATATGTTCTTTGGGGACAACAAGGTGCCCTCACTTTGCTTCTCAGAGAGAAGTGTGGCCAATGGAGCCACACAAGTGAATGGCCTTTCTCATTCAAAATTACCAAAGAGTATCACGAGCATATCTTAAATTTTGTACTATGTTTCATCCATAAACATCACCATTGGATAAAATCTAAATAAAAGAGTGTATTTTAAAGTATGTTTAGGTTGAGTAAAATAGAGTAGAGGAAAGGAGAAGAAAGAGGTTTTTAATTAATTAAATTATAATTTAATTGATCGAAAATTTTTTCTTTTTTTTTTTTCTTTATTTTCCTCAAACCAAATATAATATAAATTAGAGGCATCACAACACTTTTTTTTTTTAATTACTAATAAAGGTGTTATCAACCAATTTATACATATTTTAAGACTGATCTCTTTCTAATGCTCTTAAATGTGAACTATTTATGAATTGGAGAACTTATGAAAAGTACTTCTTATGTTTCCTCTAAATTCCAACATTGGTGAAGTCCAACTGGGCTAATTAAATTAAGGCATCATCATTACTTAATAACCCACTTGGGAGGCTGGGATACTTTATATTTCCAAGTCCAAGTGGGCTTAGCTGTTTGGGCCTTGGGCTCTAAAATTTGACCGTTGACCAGTGCAGGAACAATGAACATTCACAATGAGTCAACTTTCACGTGTAACAATTAAAAAAAAGATAAAACAAAGGCGGCCGTTTATTCGTCCGTTCCATTCCATCAAATTACCTTTCTACCCGTCCTTTCCCTATCCTGCATTTTGACAATCGCGTATGACCGTGTCCAAGTGTTGTTCCGTTGATTGTGCTTCATTTTGATTTTGATTTTGATTTTGTTTTTTTATTTTAAATGTTGTCATTTTAAGATATATATGTGCTCGCATGACCCCTTGAAGTCTAATGGCATTAGTCATTGGTGCATTCTTTTCAGGCAGGATTCGAAACCCACCCCTTACAAAATATATTCAAAAAAAAAAAAAAAAAGGTGTGTATGTGCTTGCACCTCAATTCGTAACTTAATAATTATATGTCTTTTTCTTAAAGTGTATTTTTAATTTTAAGATGAGGTGTGAATCTCTCTCTTTATAATATAATAGGTTTACGTTGAAAAAATTATTTGTAAATAAAAATGTAAAAATGACTAATTAAAATATGACAATCTATTTCTATTTATTTGGGACTACA